ATATATGTATGTATATATGTGTGTGTGTATTTTAGAAGTAACAGACAAACACAATAATTTCATTCAGTAACAACAAGTAAAACCTTGTCTAAATCCTCAACATAATGTAAATATGTCTGTAGTACATATGTATAATAAAATACAAGAAATGTACAATAAATTCTATTACAAATACATTTTTATGGTGTATTTAGTTAAAGTTGCTCAAGGCTCGGCGATATTTCACAATAAACGAGGAAAAAACAGTAACAAGTACTGCATGTCATCAACTTGATTCACAATAGAAATGTATGTAAAAACTATTAATTATTGTAAAAAAGCATTTGGCTCAGCCTAAATGCAATCAGTCCTACAAATATTCACAAACAATATAATATCTTGAAGAAATTAATGATGCAAAAACCGATTTTATGACAACTCTAAACAGGCTTATTTTTATTTAGCTATGTTTTTATGAGTTAAACTTAAGTTTTTCAATGCACAGCAAAGACTGGATTCAGTAATGCAGAAAACAGCTGTTTTTTATGTGGCAGATTGTTCGTGTCTCAAATGTGACTGAATATGATCGAATTCTTGCAAAAAAACTCGCATCGCAACTCCATTAAAAATACAACCAATAAATGATTACACTGTCTAAAAAATTGTTTCACTAAACAAAGAACAATATACTGTAACTGTGTACTCTAACTAATAAACAGAGTATGTCCCTCTTTGCTGATGATCAGTTGATCTTCTGTTTATCGATGTTTTTAAATCAGTAAATCAAACCATGACACTCACGTTCAACCTCTTCTCTCCAACATCACATACGGCCGTTTTAAAGCTCTTTATTCTTTTAACGACAGTCCAGAGCCAAACAAACACAGCTTTCTGTCTCTCATTTTTCCCATGCTTCATGAATGCAACAAGATTTCCTCCGGTGGTTCAGTTGCTACCACTGAGGAGGCTCCTGGCTGTCTTTCCTCTCTTTGCTCATTTCCTCTTGAGGCTTGATGATGATGTGAATGGGCCTCTCTCCACTGCCTTCTTGCTGCTGTGTATTTATGACTTCATCCTCGCAGACCTCCTCCTCCGCCGAGGCCCCGATTGGCCGTAGACGCTCGACAGAAACCATCTTTGTTCCAGTTGATGAACTGTCCCTCGTAAGTTTGTCCTTACCGCTGTTTTCTGAGCTGGTTTTCTCTGCTGCAGGATTAAAACCAAGAGGAGTTTATTATAATCATGTTTTGGTAAAATTTATCAGAATGGTGCACCTTTTATGCTTAAACCTGCAAGCCTATTGAGCCCTTACCAAGCTTACTGTTAGCTTGTTTGTCTGTGTTGGTGGAACTGTCTGTGGTTTTCTTGACTGTAGGCGTGGTTCTGGATCGGACTTTGTTGAAATTTCCTTCCAGAATCCACTGGTGCTGTAATCCCTCATCAGGGTTCAGGCGTTTAGCTGGATCCCAACTGAAAAAAACCCCACATCTTTCATCATTCTTCAAAACTACAAATAAAATTTTAAAATTTAAAAGTCAAAGCAACACAAATAAGTTGAGTTTAAAGATTGTTTGGCAGATTTGCTCAAACGTACTCGAGGCATCGTTGGATAAAATCTAAGAACAAAGGATCGTTAGTTTTCAGTGCAGCTGACAGCTCTATGGAGTTGGGTTTCCGCTTCTTCCCTTTGCTGTTAGTGATGTTCCTTGGGTTTCCTTTGGAGTCTGCACGCAAAATGCAAGCAAACATCAATAAATTGTTTGCTGTATAACCTCCACATTGAAATAAACTTGCACTAAAAGCTCCGAATCAAAGAAAAACCTCTCACCAAAGAACAACTTCCTCCTTGATGCTGACTGAACAAAATCGTTTGGAGGCATTCCAAGAACCTGGACGATACAAACATCAGAACTCTTTAAAACACAGAAGCAGAAACCAACTATGTTAGAAGATCTAAATAATCTAGTTTAGCTACAGTGGGGAAAATAAGTATTTAGTCAGTCACCAATTGTGCAAGTTCTCCCACTTAAAAAGATGAGAGAGGCCTGTAATTGACATCATAGGTAGACCTCAACTATGAGAGACAAAATGTGAAAAAAAATTTGAGAAAATCATTTTGTCTGACTTTTAAAGAATTTTTTTGCAAATAATGGTGGAAAATAAGTATTTGGTCAATAACAAAAGTTCATCTCAATACTTTGTTGTATATCCTTTGTTGGCAATGACAGAGGTCAAACGTTTTCTGTAAGTCTTCACAAGGTTGGCACACACTGTTGCTGGTATGTTGGCCCATTCTTCCATGCAGATCTCCTCTAGAGCAGTGATGTTTTGGGGCTGTCGGCGGGCAACACGGACTTTCAACTCCCTCCAAAGGTTTTCGATGGGGTTGAGATCGGGAGACTGGCTAGGCCACTCCAGGACTTTGAAATGTTTCTTACGAAGCCACTCCTTTGTTGCCCTGGCAGTGTGCTTGGGATCATTGTCATGCTGAAAGACCCAGCCACGTTTCATCTTCATTGCCCTTGCTGATGGAAGGAGGTTTGCACCCAAAATCTCACAATACATGGCCCCATTCATTCTTTCATGTACACGGACCAGTCGTCCTGGTCCCTTTACAGAGAAACAGCCCCAAAGCATGATGTTGCCACCCCCATGCTTCACAGTTGGTATGGTGTTCTTTGGATGCAACTCCGCATTCACTTTCCTCCAAACACGACGAGTTGTGTTTTTACCAAATAGTTCTACTTTGGTTTCATCTGACCATATGACATTCTCCCATTACTCTTCTGGAACATCCAAATGCTCTCTAGCAAACTTCAGACGTGCCTGGATATGGACTGGCTTAAGCAGGGGGGCACGTCTGGCACTGCAAGATCTGAGTCCCTGGYGTCGTAGTGTGTTGCTGATGGTAGCCTTTGTAACATTGGTCCCAGCTTTCTGCAGGTCATTCACTAGATCCCCCCTTGTGGTTCTGGGATTTTTCCTCACCGTTCTTGTGATCATTTTGACCCCACGGGCTGAGATCTTGCGTGGAGCCCCAGATCGAGGGAGATTAGTAGTGGTCTTGTATGTCTTCCATTTTCTGATTATCGCTCCCACAGTAGATTTCTTCACACCAAGCTGCTTGCCTATTGCAGATTCAGTCTTCCCAGCCTGGTGCAGGTCTACAATTCGGTTTCTGGTGTCCTCCGCAGCTCTTTCGTCTTCACCATAGTGGAGTTTGGGGTGTGACTGTTTGAGGTTGTGGGCAGGTGTCTTTTATWCTGTTAACGACTTCAAACAGGTGCCATTAATACAGGTAATGAGTGGGGGAAAGAGGAGCCTCTTAAAAAGAAGTTACAGGTCTGTGACAGCCAGAAATCTTGCTTGTTTGTAGGTGACCAAATACTTATTTTCTACCATTATTTGCAAAAAAATTCTTTAAAAGTCAGACAAAATGATTTTCTCAAATTTTTTTTCACATTTTGTCTCTCATAGTTGAGGTCTACCTATGATGTCAATTACAGGCCTCTCTCATCTTTTTAAGTGGGAGAACTTGCACAATTGGTGACTGACTAAATACTTATTTTCCCCACTGTAGTTTCTGATGCCACACCTCCATGATGCACGCCATCTGCTCCACTTCACTCTCTCCTGGAAAGAGAGGATAGCCGGTGTAGAGCTCAGCGAGAATGCAGCCCAGACTCCACATGTCGATGGCCATGCTGTAAGGGTGGCCCAGTATGACCTCAGGGGAGCGATAGAAGCGACTCTGGATGTAGGTGTACACTACAGGAAGTGAATGGAAAAGAAAAAAGCAAGGAGAAACGAAGAGAAGATGCATTCAGATTTTTATGTTGATAGAAATAGAACTGGCAGCCTCATTAGAATGTAGTTCTGTCTACATCGTACCCCTCTGTTGTTCGTAGCAGCTTGATCCAAAATCAACCACCTTGATGTTCCCGGGCCCACGCTGAGAGAGAAGAATGTTCTCCTGAATTATAAGAAAACATTCAAAAAGTGCAGTTATGGTGTCTGTCCACTAGATGGTGTTCAACATAAAGGTTTTAAACATGGCAGAGTGAATCARTGCAAAGATATGAACATTATTTTCTACAAACAGGCTTTTTGTACGACACTGACGACGATGAACGTCCGTACCGGCTTGAGATCGCAGTGGATGATCTTCTCCCTGTGCAGCATCTGCAGACACCTGAGAAGCGCGTGGGCGAAGCGACGAATCAGAGCCAGACTGAAGCCCTGGAAGTTGTTCTTCTTGATGAGCTCGTACAAGTTAACCCTGGAAAATCAGACAAACGTAAGAATATTTATAACCTTTTATTTTCTCGGGCTGTTGGATATTTTGAACGAGGGGGAAATGAAGCTGATCCATACAAAGGTGTGCTATTTCAAAAATAAGAGATGCCGGCTAAATTTGATGTCACTTAACAGCCACAATGAAACGTTGACTTGCTGTCCAGCACATACTAGAAAATAACTGCTGATTGTGCTAACTTTCACAGACAGATACAGAGTGTTTCCTCTTGATATTTCTTGCTGCTTGTGGTGAGCATAAACTTCTTTAGAGGATGTAACGGGATCTTTCACACCATGAAGCAAGATGGGGGGAAGAGATGGGGCCCTGATCTGGAACTTAACTAAAGGATACGATGACAGTAATATAAGACAAGGTGCAAGTCCAAGTTGTCCCCTAAAGGTCATTCAGCCAGACCGACACAAAATGATGCCCCCTCAAATAGAACATGTGGCAATTATTCTTAAACTTTAATGACTTCAGATACAATCACTCGACTCTTGCGTAMGCATAGTTAAGTGTTAGCAGTGGCAGAGACAGGTGAGAAGCAGCGTTCTCACCCAGCTCTTGTACCAGGTAAAAGTGACGCACCTTCAATTAGAWACATCAATTATTCAGTTAAGTGTTTACACACAGGTCTGCTCGTTCACGCGCTGGATGTTTGTGCGTGTACTAACCCCAGGAGCTCGAAGGAGATGCAAAGGTGGTTGCGGAAGTAAAAGTACTCCTTCATGTGAATGACGTTGTGTAGATTGTCTTTGTCTTTCTTCTTTATCACTTCCAGGATCTTCAGCTCAACCAAAGCCTGGTGGTGAAACCTGTTGACACATTTGTGAGCGTTAAAATCCCGATAATCCACCAAAAATGGATTTTTGAATGAAGTAATCCAGAATAAAAAAAAAAACAGAGTTCTTCTACTTAAAAAAGAATTGCACTGTTAAAGAAAAACAATCACTTTTTTAGCAGGAAATGGAAGTTTCCTGAAGCGGTGCCGCAGCATTTTACACCTTTTTGTTTTCTGCATTATTGAAGGAGGGTCAAGGCCCAAATAGTCCTGGATCTAACTAACAGCACTCGAGCGTTTGTGGCCAATAAGATCCTCAGTAAGGAAGTACAGGTAAGATAACACCACGAGGCACCAACTTCCACACGGCTAAATCTGGTCCCGACAAATTGGCATACTCATAAAATGTAAACCRATCACAGTGCCGGCATGTGGGAAAATCTTAAAACACTCCATCAGATCTCAAATAAATGCCTAAAGATTACTCCCTATAAACCACAAATGATTCATTCCTTAGCATGATTTAAAAGCAAAAAATATTTTAAGTAAATTATTCCATRTTTTTTGGAAAATTTAAATAATCAGRAATAAAAAAGYGATGAAGCTTGAACCTTTTCTTATTGCGAATCATCTTTATGGCTACAAGTTCGTTGGTCTTGTGGTCCAGGCATTTTAGGACCTGCCCAAAGGAGCCTTTCCCGATCACCTCAAGAACTTCAAATCTGTATGCAACATGATCGTGCAGCACCTGGAAGAACACAGGAAGAGCACTGAATATTAAGCAGTATTACTGGAATACTAATTATCATCTACTGTTTTTTTATTTGCTTTATCCTGCTTAAATATCAAACTAGGCTGAGACTGGTTGGTGCGTAGCATCCACAAGGCAGCTGTTCTGTCTGTTTAATGTTAAACATGTTTAAAAATTTGTGCAACTATTTTTTTTTCTAATTGTATTTCATGTACTTCAGTAGATTGAATCACAAACATGGTTACCAAAGTGGGCACAAAGCTAGTTGAGTTAATGTGCATGGCCAAATTTGCAAATTGTGCTCACCAAAATAAGAAATGATTTGAAGATATTGTCTTTGAAAAGACTGTTGCTCGACTTGTTGGTCACAAGTACTCAAAATTCAATGAAGCTACAATAGAAAAGTTATATTTTTGAAGTCAAGTTTGAGTCACCAATTCRTCTCAGAAAATTTCAGTCTAGAGATAACTTTCGTATTATAAGAAAAAAACAAAACAATAATGAAAATAAATTTGAATGATTAAAATGTGTTTTTGTAGCTTTTAGTGCAACATGATATTAATATCATATTAATATCATATTTACAAAGTAATTATTGAGCTAAACTGGTTTTTCTGTGACTGTCAGTCACACCTGTGACAGCAAGGTGAGCCTCTAAAGACACATGAGAGTCTGAATAATAGTCAATCATTCAGCCTTAAACCGCTCGTTATTACAGCTCCTGCAGTGGCACAAAACTACCAATCAGATAACAAACTCATAGAAGCCTGTCGTTTCAGGGTTTGTGACCTTAGTCGGGTTTATTGTTTATTCAACAATAAAGTGGGCCGTGATCCACGCTGGGTTTTTGGATTCAGCTGCTCGATTGAGGTCATGTGAAGGCATCCGGTCATATGATTTATTATCATCTTGTAAGAAGCAATAAAGTGTATATATATCTGAATAATTTGTATAAGTCAGAATTGGGTCTTTTTTTTCCTCAGAATGATTTTTTTGTGCTTTTCMGTGGCCCTAATCCCTCTCTGTAGATTTCATGTATATCGTTCAAAAAAAACAATATGAATTTGAAAAGAATCTACGAGACCACCAACAAACCCCTTTATTTGTCAAAGATCTTACCCGGACRTAGCTCCCGTGCTCGTCATCATATCCGTTGTTCTGCGCAGAACCTTGGGAACCCTCGATTTTCTGGGAGCCCAGACCCAAGAACCAGACCTCTGCGTAATCGTTGATTTCTTCTTGCTCGAAATCTGTCATGCGCTCTTTAAAATTGTTTATTGCCTCTGCAACAGGAAGTTAGAGGAGGACAAGATGAGTCACTGGTGTGCCGATGAAGCCAAATGCAGAGGATTGTGAGTGGTTATTTATTAATGCCAACGTGTTATTTTGAGTTCGCCAGGATAAAATATTACATGTGAACACCTACAATAAAAGGAGAGCGTGGAACCGCATTTCCAGGCCAAGGAGATTCTGTTACATTGTGATCTGTGCCTGTACCTGTGGGTGACATGGGTAACCTTTGACCCTCGTACGCCTTCTCCGTCTCCACCTTGGTGCTGAAATTCTTGCTGTTGCGAGAAACCGGCACTTTATCCATYGCTGTGCCAAACCGCATGTTGAACGGCTGCGTTTGCTTTGGCCTCTCAACCTGGTTACAAAAAAAAAGGCAGAATTAATTTGTATTATCAGCAAAAAACTACCACAGGCAACATTTATACATTMATTTTGCAATATCAATTACTATTTATTTATAGTAATTTAATGTACTTGTGTCTATTTTTTATATTTATTTTACCATATTTTTTATTATAGTGAATATTTTTATGTTTCTTACCATTTTTTGAGTTGGAGAAATGCACAAGAATTCCAATGTGCTCATGCTATAATTTTTCTATTCTATTCTATTCTATTCTATTCTATTCTATTCTATTCTATTCTATTCTATTCTATTCTATTCTATTGTTTTTATTTTTTGTAGTGATTCATTGCAAGGTTCACGAAAAATGTTACAAAAGATTAAAAAACAAGGGTCTCACTGTGTTTGTCTGATAGTTGTGTTGACTCCCTTTGTTGGCGATTTGGGGCAGGATGTTGTCGGACTGCTGGTGCTGGTTTTTGGCGTTGCTGACCACCACCTGGACCACCGGTGGCTCGAGCTGAGGCAGGGTCCCCACACCAGAGACAAACTTCTGTCAGAGGAAATCAGAGGATCCCAAAATGATTCAGTTTACTGAATAACTAACTAAAAAAGACAATTGCAGAGAAACAAAACTAAGACATTTTCGCAGATTTTAGGGACAGTTTTATTCTTTCTGCAAAAGCATTTTGTTCACAAGTCTGTGGATCAGAGTTTCTCCTAAATTTTGGTTTCCCTGTCTACACGCAGGCTCAGGTGACCGAGACCCTCCAGCAGGGAAGCGACTGGAATTACTTGTCAGGCTGAAGGTAAAATGGGGACAAAGCCTCATCAGGCCGGGCCTTGACAGGGTCTGTCTGTGGAGGCTTCGTGGGGGAGGTGATCCTGCTTTTCTCTGATTGACACTGCAGTTGCTCTCAGAGCACGATTACACGTGTTGCAGCCCTGCAAAGCTCAGCCTTGTCAGTGAGGAGCAAAATTAAACCTCTGTGTTTTGCCAGAATCTCTGGATTAATTTAACCATTATTCCTGTACGACAAGAGGACACGTTGAAATGATATTATCCCCTTTATATGCAATCTGATACCCCGTACACTGCTAACGTTTTGCATATACATTATTAACAAAACTCAACATAAATGCTTTTCTTTGCTGCAGATGTTTATTTTTTAGGAGCTGCAGTAGGATTTGCTAACTTGGTCATGACGCATSAAGACGGAGCTAAATATAGTCCCAAGCACCTGCCTCAACAGGCAACTAAGTCACAGTTACATACCTGTGCATAACTAAGAAAACTTTTTGTATTAAAAAAATGTAAAGACACTTWCATCGACTTTTATGCAAGAAAATCTCATTGTTTCTATCTGTTATCCAAATATGATAATTATTTGGGATTTTTCTCTTAAAATCAGACTTCTAGCGTTATGAATAGAATAAATGTATTTCCCTAAAGCACTTTGAGATGCCCTACGATGGTCCTGAGCACATAAAACTGCCGTGCCTCATTGTTTAAAAGAGGAATTTTCTGTTGCACACCTCAAGCAGGAGGGGAAAGATGGTATTGTTGGTGCAATATGTTCTGTGTGTGTGTCAGCTGTAACAGCATCATGCATGGAGCGGAGGGCACTGACCTGTGAACAGGAGCGGTTTGTTCCAATACGGCTGCCTTCTGCTGGGAGTCTGTGAGGGTGAGGGAAGGCCTCTGGTCGTGTTGCCTGTGGGAGAAACAAAAGTCATTCAGAAAACAGGAACAATAAAAGAGGAAGGTAGCTGCCTTTTAATTTCGAACAAATCCATATTTATAACCATATAATTATATTTCTCTACTGCAGACATTTATATAGATTGATGCATTATAACAGAGTTTCTCAAATCAGATTCCCTCACACTTAAATTAACAAAGTGAAGCAGTGAAATTCTGAAGGAAACGTTTGCGGTTTTGTGCCGGCTGGATTCTCCGGTCTCTTCAGCAACACGCCGCCTCTCAGGGGCATCTGAGCTGGGTTAAAACCAGACTAGCAAGAAGAAAAAAAATACACTGTGATCCTAAAATAGATCACTTCAGCAAAAAAACCCAGCAACAACGATCCTCTCGCTTTCCAGCACGCTCTGTCTTAGTTACAGCTGCAGTGCGCGCRCATGTGCCTGCCAGGAGGCGCACACGTGCCCCAGCACCCTGCAGGTCAGTTTGTAAGAATGTGTTGGAAGGGAAGCATTAAATACTTCCTGAAATAAATAAAATCTGGGATGATTAAACTGGCTTACACGTGCCGTACCAATCAGTGTGGAACCATCTAAGCTCAGGCAGGTATTTGTGCAGAACTCCATCTGAGCACCTGTTAGGGATGAGCTGTTCAGGATAAGTGATGTGCTGTTTGCAGCTGYTACACAAGATTTATCTTAAAAGCTGAAAGAATAAAACATCAAAATGAATCGTCCTGATGCATCTCAGTAATCCAGGTAGRAAAAAAAWYMAAAARRAAAAAATTAGTAGGTCCTCTGGATGGGTTCTTCTTTAGTGAAACGTTTCGTCTCTCCTCCAAGAGACTTCTTCAGTCTGATGAGTTTCAGGTGAACTCAGCCTTATAAACACTGCCTCCTCATGGTGGACAAAGAGGTTAGTCACATGCAAAAGAGGGTCATTGACTAACAATAGGCTTGATYAGCTCTATTGTTCATAGAGGGTCATGTGACCCATCACCTGCCTTATTAGTTTGGATGCTGTGGTTCTTAGGTGTCGTGCCATGTGCATGTAGTGAATGCAGGCGGGGCTCAAAGTCCCCTAAAGTGAGCCAAAGGTGTGAATCGGGGCCCCAACGATAAGTAACACAAAGGGGGAAAAAAACAAAAACAAGGGACTTTGAGCCCCGCCTGCATKCACTACATACACATGACACGACACGTAAGAACCACAGCATCCAAGCCAATAAGTCAGGTGATGGGTCACATGACCCTCTATGAACAATAGAGCTGATCAAGCCTATTGTTCAGTGATGGCCCTCTTTTGCATGTGACTAACCTGTTTGTCCATGTGGAGGCAGTGCTTTTATGGCTGAGTTCACCTGGAACTCATCAGACTGAAKAAGTCTCTTGGAGGAGAGACGAAACGTTTCACTAAAGAAGAACCCATCCAGAGGACCTACTTATTTTTTTMTTTTTGATCAAAWTGAATCCTCCTCAGATAAAACAAACTTTTTAAACTCGTGACGTTGGACGAAACACTCACKTTTTATTTAACCAAGGAAATCCTATTGAGATAAGGCAGCCAAAACATGCATGTTTTTTGGACTGTACCCTGAGAAAWCCCGTGCAAAAACAAGGAGAACATGCAAACTCCACACAGACATATGGCAACAGCGCTCCAAAAAGAAGTCGGTCTAATTGTTCAATGGGCGAAACTGCATGTAACCACACAAGTGGTACAAATGTGTCRTCATGTTACGAACTCCGGGGTTCAGTGAGTGACAGCAGGAGCCATGTGGGTCACTGTRGCAGGTTGGCTTCTGGTAACGACACCTGTGAAGGTTTGCTGTAAGCTAWAAGGAGCACGGAGCCAATGACCTGTTGACACGTGACACGGATAAATCATTCTTCCTATTCATCTGTTTCACATCCAGATCAGCTCCAAGACAGCTGAAAATTGTAGTTCAGATGATCATTTCTTCAAGTTTTTAGGAAGAAGTGAGAAGATTTCTACAATAAAAAAAAGTAAAACACCCCTACAYTGTAAAAATGAGGGCGTTACGTTAAAATCAGGTTTGTAAAAATTGGTTTATATATAATACAAATACAGATTAGGACAAAATGTCTCTGAATATTTGTTCTTACGTTCAAATGCAAAGTTAGATAATTCAACACCACCAAGCCCAAGAAAAACATTTATCTGCAACGCTGACTCCGTGCATGTGGCTGCAGGCCTTTTGATCCGTGCAAACGTGTGAGAACAGCTCGGCCTCTGGAAAGGTCAGTTGGTCAGAAGGTCAAACCGAAGCAATAAAATCAGGGGCAAAGTCAACATCAACAAACTGTAAAACTGTGTTTGCTCACAATATCACGTATCAGAGGGTCACTTTTCAGTTTTAAATCACTGTATCCATTTTATTTTAAATTACACATCATTCAATGGGAGCCAATGGCAAAAAACTGACACTTGCAAAGAATAAACAACTCCGGATTAACCCATATTAACACGAGTTTTGGCCATTACAGATTTATTTTTTGGAGCTCACAAAAAAAGGAAAAAAAAAAAAGAAAAAGAAAGACAAAGAAAGCCCTGGTTAAATTTATCACTTTCCATGTACGGGGTGAAAAATACACCCGAACACATTTAGACTTATGGCATCTGTCAGCACAACAAACACTGAAATAAGTGGACTAAATTTCAACTGAAATAGAAATGGATCAGATGGGTTTTTTTTATTGTAACTTGGCATGCTTTCAGAAGCAAGAAGCCAACCCCACAATATGAGTTTTGGATGAAAAATTGAAACGATTTCAAAGTTAAAACACCTTAAAACTGAATCAACACACGATGAAGTGGTCATTTAGTCAAAACATACCGTAAACCTGAAAAATTAGTCATACGTGTGGAGAAATATCTAATTTTTTAAAATCAAGACAAAAAAACCCATGTGATCAGAAATTAAGTGACACAAAGTGAAGAAAAATAGTGAACTCATATGTAACTGTGACCATAGATTGGAAAATTGAGAAGAAAGCAGCCAACCTGACTCCAGTATAAAATAACTCTAATTAGTAATGTACCAGTTAAAGGCTGTTTCATCAACAAGCAGCCACAATGCCTCACCTTATTTATTTCTGGCAGCATGCTGTGTTCTCAGTCTCAGTCTTGGCACTTGAGACTCTCCGAAGAAACGATCAAATCCAGCAGAGAGTCATAATATCCAAACTCTGTCAGGCCGGCAGCAAGAACAAAAAGCTACAAGCTTCACAAAACGGTCCTCGCGACCGAATCCACTCTGAGGAGTAAAATCCCGACGAGTGAGGAGGTTTCCCCAACCCAAACCTGCCGCTCTCCTGGTTTTACGTGCGCTGGGTAATGCGCTGTCGTCAGAGAGGGGATTAGTGAGCGCCACAAGCTGCTGAGGGTCTCTGTGCCCTGACGCGTCCCGCTGAGCCACTGAAGGAACCACCTGTTCAGATTCTGCTGACAGCTGGGCCAGTCCCGATATAGATTCACGTTTTTGTCTGCTGTGTGGTCCACCTACACCATGCTTATTGTGGCTGATGCTCTAACACTGAACGCAAAGAGAGAGAGAGAGAGAGAGAGAGAGAGAGAGAGGGGGGGGGGGGGGGGGTCCACACTGACGCACAGACGCACGCACATCGTGGCCGCGCTCTGCTTGAGCGCACTTGAAACACAGTAAATGTTATGCATGCTGCTCGCTCCCCCAGTATGAGCAAATGCACATCATGTAGTCTGCCTGCCTGTCATCAGGGAAATGCTAAGCTTTCCTCAGACATGTGTGATATTTTGACTTTTTTTTTCCAGAGAAGAAAAATAAAATGTTTCATTGCTCATTTAAAAAGAAAGACAAAAAATAGTTTAATAAAGATGCATGAAACTATAGAGGAATTGCATTTTCAGCAAAACTCCAGTGTGCTGAATGGCTGCTGAAATTTTGCTGCAAAAGCTAAATCTGAGCTGTTACAGCAACAAGTAGCAGAATACTACCAATCTAAAAGTAGCTAAATGCAAAGGAAGCAAACAGCAAAAAGCTAAACGTTGCAAAAGAACTATAACAAAACAGAAGCGAGCGCCTTAAAGCAGCAAAATGTTAGCTAAAAGCAATAAAATTCTGCAAAAAGCTAGTGCATACTTTAAAGTATCAAAAGACTGGGTATAGGAGCTAATAGTAGCAAAAACTGGATAAAGCCAAAAGTAGCCATAGGCTACCTAAAAGTAATCACATGCTATCTGAAAGCCAAAAGTAAATAAAAAGACCTAAAACAGAGTATGGTAACGCAGATTTCTAAAAGGCAACATGTCTGAAGTAAAAAAAAAACGTATGTTTTTACAGTTTAGTTGCAAAAAACACAACAAACAAAACAGTAAATGATCTGAACTTATTTAGCACTTTATCAAGCCCCATATGGACCCCCAAATCTCTTTACGCTTCACCCATTCACAGACACATTCACACACTGATGGTGGTAAGCTACATTGTAGCCACAGCTGCCCTGGGGCACACTGACAGGGGCAGGGCTGCCATGCACCAGCGCCACCGGACCCTCTGACCACCATCAGTAGGCAAGGCGGGAGAAGTGTCAACCCTCCAGTTACAGGACAACTAACCACTCCACCGCTGTCCAAAATCAGGAAAACAATGAAGTCAAAACAGAATTCATACAATTAACAAAAGCATTTAAAGCTGCAGAAGCTGATAACTCTGTTTTGCGAGACATATTTAATATTATTTGCTAGTTTGATGGGACTAAAAAGAAAAATAAGCAAATCTGCTCTAACACAGTTACGCAAATCTATTTGTTTTCCAGTGACTAATCCCCAGCGCAGGAGGAAAACAAGTCACTGGCCTGGCTCCATGTGATGATTAGCCCACAACAGGAGATGAATATGATAAGATGATGCTGTTATGCAACAGAGGCCACTTCACTAATCAGCTGCAGCTTTAGAAACAAGTAACTACCAATGAAGCCTCTTCTGTTGCTCTTTTTATTATGCTCCAGTTATATATTGCCTTATTCCTTTGCAAATCAAAACAACCTAAAAACTGAACATTTATGATTAGATCATGAAGATATACAGCAGGTCCTGCTGGATGAGGTGGAAGTGCTCCTTTAAACCCTGTCGTCTGGAAAAAGCTGTGTTGGAAACATTTTTAAAATAAACCCTTGGTTACAACTGCAACTTTGAGCTTTTGTTTCTCACAACGTGAACATTTAGATAGATAGATACATTTATTTGTATAGCACCTTTCAAAACTCAGTTACAAAGTGCTTTAAATAATATAATAGAATCAAAACACATAAGAAACATGGCACAAAATAAAAATAAAACATGCAAAGGTCAACAATTAAAAGCCAACTCATAATAATGTTTTTAAAAGAGATTTAAAAGAGGACAATGAAGAAGCTTGTCTGATATAAAGTGGCAGTGCATTCCATAACAGAAAAGGCTCTATAGCCATCTGTCTGTAGTCTTACTCTGGGTGCTAAGTAGTGACTGATCAGATGATCTCGGAGGTCGCTGTGGTATATATAGTGTAAGTAATTCTGAAATATAAGACGGTGCAAGTCCATTCAGTGATTTAAAAACTATCAATGCAATCTTAAAATCAATCCTGAAAACCACAGGTAGCCAGTGTAAAGAAGCAAGAACAGGAGTGATATGATCATACTTCTGGGATTTAGTGAGGACTCTGGCTACTGTATTTTGTACTAATTGTAGGCGTTGAAGTTTTTTTTTAGGCAGACCAATAAACAGAGAATTGCAATAATCAAGACGACAAAAATAAAAGCATGAATGAGTGATTTAGCATCTGCAAATGAGGTAATTGATCTTAATTTGGCAATATTTCTGATGTGATAGAAGCCAGTTTTAATACTATTATTAAAATGTTTAGTCAAACTCAGATCCGAATTCAGAACTACTCCAAAGTTTCTAGCCTCATGAGAGCAATTAAAACCTGAAGAATTAAGAACTTTAATTATAGGGTCTCTATAAACCTTAGGACCTAAAACCAACACCTCAGTTTTATTATTGTTTAAAAATAAATAATTATCGGACATCCAGACCTTAATATCGGTGAGACAAGAACTTAGTATGTTTAGAGCCGATAGATCTGAAGGATCAATAGATAAATATGTCTGGTTATCATCTGCATAAAAATGAAAAGATACATTTTATTTGTGAATAATTTGACCCAGAGGCAGCATGTAAATAGAAAATAGCAGTGGGCCAAGAATGGAACCCTGAGGAACGCCATGAGTACGTTTTACCACTTCAGAAGAACTGTTACAAATTGATACACAGAAGAACATATTTAATTAAAAATAAAAAAAATTCTACCTGCACAATAAGATGATTTTATGAACAATACTTTTGTAACTTTGCACAATAAATAAAAAGCTGCAGAACAAAGTATTAAAACCTAGAAACTGAAACACAGAGTCATTATTGCTTTGTGCCTTTATCACCAGGAGACAAAACAATGCAGATGCAGTACCAAAGAATTAATGGAGCAAAACATGGCTAACATAAAAATAAATGAGGTGACCTGTGAGCAGTTCTGTGAGAAAATTCAGAACAGGAATGTAACATAAATATAAACTGGTCTGTACCTCAGGCTGGACTCTCCTGTTTCTGCCCCAGCAGCAGCCCTGAAGGAGGCTAAAACCACAGCAGCCAGGTGAGGTCCCGTCGTCCCACATCGCACATCTCCCCCATGCTGTCACAACCGCACCCCGAAGTCCATCTCAACCTCTTGAAACCATTTCCAGCCAGAGGCTCCGTAATTAGTCAGCAGATAAAACAGACATCCTCTCTGGGTTGGAAGATGATTGTGAAGGACCCAAAGTTCTGTTCCTAGTTTCCACTTAATGACGACGGAACGTCCAGGCAGAGAACTTCGATCATCAGTGTGCTGAGTTTCAGGGTTCTTAATGTGGATTCCTCACATCTCTCCTCTGCGCTCAGGACTCTCTGCATCATTTATTGATATGAGGTTACATCCCAGAGTCTCTGTTTATTCAGCTCTTTGCTGTTCCTGCAATTTTTTTTCTTCTCCTCTGCTCCAAGGATATATGGCACACAGCCGGCAGACAGCGAGAGGATGCTCTGGCTGTAATTGGTAAGGCAGCGCTCTGACGTACGGATGGGACTCACCTGGGAACCCATCCTGAGCCGGAGACAAAGCAGCAGGTGCCTTACACTTAGTTTCCTGTAAAAAAAAAAGTACCTCTGGGAGCAGAGTGGGTTGGTGCTATGAGGGGACTAGAGAGACAAGGAGAGAAAGGCACTCTACAGATGCTTGCAGGTGAGCTCTTCACGGGGCTGAGGAAGTCAGATGGGGAGGGGGTTCTGCTCTAATAGGCCTCCCATGAGGTTCAACTGACACCTGCATCTTCTCGCTCTCCCCGCTCACCACTGTATCCCAGAAACAAAAACCACTGGGAYGTAATATTCTCTACTTTCTTCTACTTATCTGCTCACCCCCATCCTTTTTTTTTTGCCCTTCTCCTCCTGCTTTAGAGCTGCCACAGCTCCTCGTGGGATGCTTCGAACTTGCTGACAAATAGCTTACCTCATCCCACCTCAGCCAGCCCTGGCCTCCTGCCTGCTGCACGCAGCAGCAGAAAACAGAAAGATTTAAACAGCGAGGGGTAAACTCTTTCATAGTTTCTTCTTTACTGATCGACTCAAAGATCAGTGTCGATTCAACCTCAGGTTATTAGGCAACATTTCGTTTTACATGTTGTTTTCATACCAGATGAAATAAGCACTAGTATTTTCTGCTCACACAGGTCCCACCCMTCTGCCAAAAATACAATCTGTAAATCACCATGTTTCAGTGACAGGAAAAATGTTGCTATTTCTGTAGCTTGAAGCAACGGGGTACTGTATTCCATTACTGCCCAGTCAGCAAGTTTGGACTCTGTAAGCAGCAGAGGTACAGTAGCTATTCTGTTTTCTTCACTTTAAGTTTTCAGCTCATAAAAATGAACRTGAGTCATCTCACAGCTGCTCGTTTCCATTCGTTTCAGCCCATGAGCCGTCAGGCAGATCTGCGCAGAAACAGGTGTTGGACATGCTACACCGGCTCAGATAAGTGTTTCTAAGACACACTGGCAGGCGTCACACGAAGCGAACGGAGGAAAGGTGAGCTGGCAGCYGAAGCAGACAATGCCCGCGTCTCTTGTCTTTTGGCAGAGAGGCACGGGGGTAGTTTGACCTGGCTGGGAGCTGCGCTGCACCATCTGCAGTTTTAGAGGCGCAGCAGGGCTTCTTAGTTACAGCCTGTCACCATGTCAGATATAGGTCAAGTTCACACACTGACAAAAACACACACTCACACACACATGCCATGACAAACAGGTTCAATTGTGCCTTATACATTAGACATGAATGTCACTTCATATTAGATATACACTCACCGGCCACTTTATTAGGTACACCACGCTAGTAACGGGTTGGACCCTCTTTTGCCTTCAGAACTGCCTCAATTCTTCGTGGCATAGATTCAACAAAGTGCTGGAAGCATTCCTCAGAGATTTTGGTCCATGTTGACATGATGGCATCACACAGTTGCCACAGATTTGTCGGCTGCACATCCATGATGCGAATCTCCCGTTCCACCACATCCCAAAGATGCTCTATTGGATTGAGATCTGGTGACTGTGGAGGCCATTTGAGTACAGTGAACTCATTGTTGTGTTTAAGAAACCAGTCTGAGATGATTCATGCTTTTTGACGTGGAGCGTTCACCTGCTGGAAGTAGCCATCAGAAGATGGTACACTGTGGTCATAAAGGGATGGACATGGTCAGAAGATGGTACAC